TAGGGTTGCCACCTTTTCAGGCTTTACATAAAGTATTTCTCGACTAAAAGGTTTTAAAAAAAGTACTCAGCATAAAAATAAAGTATTTTATTTTTTGTTTTTATAAACATATTTTTTGTTACACCTAGCAGCCAGTAACAAATTGCTGTCGCTCTTAAATACATTAATAGCCTCTAAACATGGCAAACAAAGATTTCAGTAAACTAAAAATTCATTATTAGTTCGTTTTAATGAAGCTTTATTCCTGTCGTCCCGCCACTTTGCTTTCATAACAGAGAATACTCTTTCTATAAATGCTGAAGTGGCCGAAACCGACAGCAAAAGTAACACTACCTTGAACAGATTTGGGAAATCAGGTTGTTCCGTAAATATGGCTTGCTATTTTTTCTGTGCAATATTATTGATGTAAAAATACTCTGAATTTCGAATAATCGCTTACAAAATTACGATGTTTANTATAACATGTATTTTTTAAAAAAGGCACTTTTTAATGTTAATTGTAATTTTGTAATTAATAACCAATTTAAGTTCCCTTTCCGGATGATCACAAAGGTGCGAGGCTTAGACGTAAGTCAGGATGAAAGGGGTAGTAGGATATAAAACAGAGGATAGCGCAGAATAGGTTAATTTAGAAATTCGAAAAAGGTTTTTAAAGGTGTATGTTTGGAGCACGGCGCTATACGGGTGCGAAACAGCGAAACATAGACAGTAGGCGCGGCGGAAAAGAAAAGGTTAGAAGCGTTCAAAATGTGGTGTTGTAGAGAAGGTTAGAAATGAAGAGTTATTAGAAAGAGTAAGAGAACACAGGACTCTATGGAAGTCAATAAGAAATAGAGGACATAGTTTAGTAGGACACCTTATCAGGCATGAAGGTCTAGTCAGAGACATATTAGAGGCAGAAACGGAAGTTAGGAGGGGTAGAGATAGACCTAGATTAGATTACTGTTTGCAAATAGTTAAGGACATGGGTAGTTCTAGTTTTAGGTAAATGCGAAGATTAGCTCAGGATAGGAAAGAG